GAAATTAGAGGTGCTACTTCAGAAACTGATTTTACAAATTTATAAAAAAGTTTAAAATCAAACAAAAGACATAACCAATAAATACAAGCAGAATAAATACTTAAAAATAGAGGACGTTTTTTAGTTCATATATTTTATATGTCATCACTTCTCTCTGTCTTCCATCTGTTGCTCACACATGCTGCTCATCATTAGGCCTCACCTCTCCTAAGAAGGCCAGCGCTAAGGGTAAACCTCTGAACATCACCCTGACACCTTTGTTTTAGATTTATAGATATATAGATAGATGTGCTTTGAATTAGAAGAGCTCCAACATTTACAGACTTCCTCCCACTATCCAGATATTAAGCCAAAAATATCCCGGCCATGAACGGGGCCACTTTGCACATTTGATGCCACAATCAGGGGGTGTGGCCAGGGTACGCTTGTTCGACCAATCAATCATTCAGTCTCAGCTGTCAATCATGACGTCTCACTGGAAAATGAACACTTGAACATACATCAGTGTGAGGAGAACATGTCCCATCTGCCAACATGGAGGAGGTGGGCTTTTTGACCTGTACTGCAGCAAGCCACCAGAGGGCGATCAAGATGATTTGGCTTCACTTTCGCGTAGCTTTCATGTCGTCCATCTTTGTATCCAGTCTGAGATTCATAATGATGACATTGAGGTGACAGTTTAAAAGTCGAAGGAGCCCTGACGACACAGAGTTCACAGCAGACACCTGAGACGACACACACACACACACACACACACACACACACACACACACACACACACACACACACAGTTTTCCCTCCTTCACTACAGATCCACAACAAATACAGACACACACTCTGGATTGGCTCAGACACTGGAACACTGGCTCCTCTGCAACTTTTAAATGAAATCCAGACAAACTGCAGCGCTGCCAAAAACCCGGCCCAGCTCTGCTCTGCTGTGCAGCTCCATGTCTGTAGTGCCCTGTAATGTAGTGAAACATATATCTATATATCAGACACCTGTTAATGTTCATGTCGCTCCATTCGGCCAACACCCCCATTATTCCCCAGTGTCCTTATAAATTAGATCAGAAAACCTCAAACTCGTGTGTTTATATCGTCCGACAGTTCTGCAGTGCCAGAGATGAAACTGGATCTGTTCAAACGAACTGTTCCTGGTGGTTTTTCAACACAAACCTTATATGTTTAATCGTCTCAAAACTGGTTACAACAGATTTAAGTTGTTTTACTAAACCCCAAACCCCTTCTGTTACTTTCTTACGTACATCAGAGGACGTGAAAGCAGGTGAGAGAGGGAAGGTTTTGAGATATGAACTGAACTCTAATGTCATACTTGTTTCCTCTTTCTGTGCTGTTTATTCCCTCTTCTCTGTCCGTTTACATTTTTTTTCTGTCCGACTCTTTAATCTTTCTTTTTGTTTCTCTCTGGCTCTTCCGATCTCCATCTGTATTCTCGCTGTGCTTCCCCTTCGCTGCGCAGTTTCTCAGTCTGAGTCTAAACAACTCAGTCCACTGTTGGACTCAGGGAAAGGTATGTGAGATTATTACTGAGAAACAATGAAGTGAAACCTGCTGGATGATAAAAAAATGCTCCTCTAGCCAACAGTTCATTAGAGACGTGGACAGGGAGAGCTCAAACACCAGAGCTCAATAGTTTCATCCCAGTAATTTTCAAACATCTGACAGAGATCTACAACTTATTAAACTGCTCAAGAAAGACACTGAGAATTTGTGTTTTATCTTGACTGGGCCTTTGAAAATGAGGTGTTTAGTTGATTCAGTTAGAAATTGATCTCCGCCTCTTTGGTCCTGCTGTGCAGAACAAATTGAACCTTGGTTGTGTAGTTTTTGCGTAATCCTGCAAACTAATGATCGCAGACAAAAACGTAACCTTCTTGGCAGAGGTAATACATTTAAAAAATAAAAGTAAATGTGGCTGAACTGCTCTCTAACCACAGAAGGATCCTTCAGTCTGTGTCTTCTGTGTTTTAGCTGTGCCGGCTTACAACAGGAAAACATGTTAAGACTTTATTTGCATTATCTCGTGCACTAGCATACCATCAAAAATGAAATACTGTTCCTACAGTTTACACAAGTTAAAAACATCTCAAACTATCTTCCTTTGCTTTATACCAGTATTATAATAAATACATATATTGCATATGCATCACTATGCAAGGAAAAAAATCAAAGTCTTCTTACGACTTAAAACCATCTCCGTTCCAAAACGCACAAGATAAGAAACTTGACCATAGCGTTATGCTCAAAACTCAAGAGGCTGGTTCAGAAATCTTCTGACAGGCAGCTGTGATGTCGGACTGCGGTCGGAGTTTGCACTAAATGCTCCCACAGGAGAGAGGGAGAGAGGGAGAGAGGGAGAGAGGGAGGAATCACACAAACCTCTTTCAGATTTCTGAGAAAACCTTGAGTGCACCTGAGAGTTTTCCCTCTTTTCTGTCAAGTCTGCGGGAAGGATTGGGCGTGTGTGTGTGTGTGTATGTGTGTGTGTGTGTGTGTGTGTGTGTGTCCTGTTTTTCCCACACATCCAAACGTGTCATCTCTTGATGTGAATCTGGGAATACAAACACCTCCACAGAGCAAGAGAAAGGTGTGTCCGTGAAAAACCTTTATTGTATTTTCGAGATCATATTCTCACCATTCAAATAAATACATTTCTTACTTCCAGGGCTGCACCCAGGTTTGGATTTTAAAGACTATATTCGACACATTCTTAGCTCACGTAATCTTCCAAAGGTTTTTCCTCAGAACTTTGGGCAGGAAAGTGAGTTTGAAAAGCCAGGAAGTTGACTCACTGATATTGATCAACACCCACATCGACCCCTCACAGAAATATGTTGGCCATTCTTGCTGTGGAGGCATAAAAAACGTACTCATTGCAGCTTTGATCGTGGAAACTATTACACAGTATTCACTTTGCTTCAACCTGTCGTGTCATCCCTGTTTTCCGTGTCTCCCAGTTGTGCATCATAAAAAAAAAAAGAAATGCCGCTGAGACGGAAAAGAAGAAAAGTACATTTTCCAGCGGAGGTTTGAGTTTGCCAGCAGTTTGCGAGGCCTCGTGTGAGATGTTCAAGACCGTGTGTGAAGGTGGAACATCGGGCCGACTCCCTCTCCTTCCTGTTTTTCAGCTTTCTGCCATCGCTCCCGTCCGTCTCCTTGACTACCTGGCAGACAGATGTGGGCTGCTGTCTGTAATCATGTCTGTCCTTCAGAATCACTGCAGCGCTTTGTCAGTGTGTCACCGGAGCCTGGGACATAAACATAGTCATTACATCTCGTGAAGAGTCCCAGCTCTGTGTCTAAGAGGATTTGGACCCGAGCTGGTGCTGGCTCTCAGTGTCTTGCTCAAGGGCACTTCAGGTTGATGGATGGTGTTATCTACACATTTAATGTTTTGTCCGTCAGAGGAGGCAGTAAAACAGTTATGATATAAAATGTCTTATAATTGTTGACTAGCACGTAGACTATCCTTAAAGCTGCTTACTTCAACTCTTCAATAAAATAGATCATTAGCTTCAGAGGGAGCTCGGAGTAGAGCCTCTGCTCCTTTGTGTCGATTGGGGCCAGTTGGGGCATGTTTTCAGGAACAATCCTGGGCACCTTCCACACCCAACTTGGTGGAGATCGTGGGTTAGACCCAGAACTCACTGGATTAAATATCCCATCTGGTCTGGGGGACACCTCGGGATCTCCCAGGAGAAGGTGGAAATCGTAGTTTGGGAGAGGGGTGTCTGGAACACTGTTTAGCTGCATGGATGGATACATGGGTTTCTTTTGGTTTCTTGTGAAACTCTTAAACGTTTCTTAATATCTGACCCAGAGACATAAACACAGTCAGGCCAACTTCCTCAGATTATGACTGATTTGTTTAAGTGTGTGTGTGTGTTTGTGTTGTGTGCAGACAGCAGCCACAGCAGCAACAGCACCAAGGGAGAGAGGCTGAGCACCAGGATGAGGTCACTTCCTGCTTCCAACGAGCCCTATGAGGCCAACAGCCCAAAAGAACTGGGTGAGGAAAACATGTTTTCTCTAAGTTTATCTTTTCACCTCTGGAACCCGTGACTTTTACTTTTATCTCCGAACCCTCTGGATTCCTGCACGATGTTAGAAAACACGTAAACACGGAAGTGTTAGTGAAAACACCAAGATTGATTGTTAACAGGAAACTGGGCCGTAATGAGTAAATCTTCTGTTGCTGTCGTGTGTAGATGCGTCTTACGTGGATCCACTGGGGCCTCAGATGGAGAGACCGAAGACGGGGGCCAAGAAGCGAGTGGAGGACGACGACTTTGCAGACGAAGAACTGGGAGACGACCTGCTGCCCGAGTAGCTGCATTTATATTTTACACTTTCAACTTTTTTTACGTGATAAACACTCTATTTTTCACCGTTAGGGTCCAATTAACATTTACATCAGCAGTGCAGACGTCATATATCTTTACCTCTTCCCACATTTGGAAAGGTAAATATTTTACATGTGTATTTAGCAGAGGAAAACTTATACTTATAATGTATATATACTTATATACATGGACTGATGTTGTTCAGGAAGCTGCTCAGTATTTCCCACAGCTTTATTGTTGTTCTGTTCTCCAGCACAATGAAACATTCTCAAATTTGAACCTGTTTACATAAATTATGTTGGATTGGAACTTCTGCCAAAACCTGATAAGGATGAAATGTTGCATCTTTATCCTAACATCACCTTTTTGGTTTAGAACCCAGTGTTGGAGCCAAACAACGATAAACGTTGCATAGTTTTCTGACAGCGCTGTATGTTTCCATGTGTGACCCTGGGAACCTTCTGGAGAATCCATCAGCTCAACACATTCACCAGACTCATGTTATACATCCACTACAGACCCACTGTTGTATTTTTGTATCAAAAATGTTTATTTGTAGTATAATATATATGTTTTCCTGTTTGTTCATTTATTTATTAAGTATATGATTAAAAGAGAAAATATTTATCTAACATTTAACCATGCGGGGGAGTTTTTTCTAAAACAGAAAGTGTTTCAGACCTGGTTCAGTATCCAGACACCAGGGATAGAACCACCAACTTTCTGGTCATTGGACAACCCGCTCTTCCTCCTGAGCCACAGCTGCTCCCCTGACAGATTTCTGACAATCCCAGAATTAATCTGAGGTTTTCCTCACGGAGGCAGCAGCTCAAACTGAGGATTTAGTGTAAAGTTTACACTGAGTGAAGCTTTAACTGGATTTTCACAAGCATAATATCATGTCAAGCTTTTTCCTCATTTCAATCTTAAAGACATAAACTCACAGTATGTGTTGGATGGACATAAAAGATAGGTTAAGATTGTGAGATCTAGCTTTTTGTGTCTGTGCTTGTGGACACTTGACGTAAGAGGTTGGACAAAAGTGGATCCAGTTGATGTTGGAGGGTCAGAGGACTGTGGAGCGGCGCCAGGATCCAGCAGCAGAGCGGCCAACAAACCTCAGGCCCCGTCAGAAGCTGCTCTCATGGAGGCTGGACTCGTTTATCATCGCAGATAAAAGTTCAAGACGGAGCTTCATCTCTAACTTTGACTCAGAGTTGTCCCGGATGGTGGATCGCGCTGTTTTCTTCGCGCACTGACGCCTCCATCGGATTTTACGCACAAGTCGCTGCAGAGAAGCAACAGGGAAACACTCTCGATGGCATTTTCTCACCGTAACCAGAGAGCAGCAGGTGTGAAACTACCAATGCGGTAATATTTTCTGTTTCTAAGGGAATTATTTCTCCTGGCGACGCTGTGGTGCTGAGATGTTTCCCTGGCGGTGCGCCCGTACCTCGGTTTCCGCGCCAGGACTGTGGACCTTTCGCCTGCCGCTGGTTTCACACGTCTCGCTGGATTATAACACAGGACTCTGACCTCCACTCATCAATACAGCTCACTGGTGTCTGGAGACCTGTCGTCTTCAAGGAGAGCCGAGCAGGAACCTTCCTCTGTGGGTTTTTAGCGCCAAAGAAGCGCACAAGCGATGGCGCGTCTGCTCCGCGTCCTGCTGCTGCTGCTGCTGCTGCACTTGTCGGTGCTGCAGCTGTGTCGGGCGGCTGCAGCGGCGGGTCGGGTGCGGAAGAAGGCCTCCAGACCCCGGGCGTGCATGGACCTGCCGGAGGAGATCCTGGAGCAGATGTTCGGGCGGCTCTCGGTCGGAGTGATGAGCGCCTTCCATCACGCGCTGCAGCTGGAGCCGCAGGACAAACTGAACCGGAGCTGCCCGAGCACCGCGCCACGGGCCCCGGCCGAGAGCAAGACCCGCCTCCCGGTCAACCTGCTCAGCATCTCCCCCTGGGCCTACAGGTGAGAGCAGCTGGAATAAAGTTGTTACTATCACATGAAGGATGATGTGCTGCCAATGCAAGTCAAACATCTCTCTCTATATATACAAATAGATATAAACATCTATATTACGATTTATACTTTCAATTCATCACTCAACAAAACGTTTCCATGACTTTGTTCAACATCAATAATGTGTAATTATCAGTAACTGTGTTTAAACTTAGATTAACTCAAAGCGACAGGTGAAGTTTAAGAGAAAGTTCAGACTTTATAATAATGAAATTTCTCGTAAAAGATTTAAAGGAAATTTAGAGGTCGGACACAAGGTCACAAATATACATAAAATGGAACAGATGAGAAAAGAGTACGATTCAATCAAGTAAAAGGTTCTAACAAGTTTAAAAAATTTGAGCTGGGATAAAAAATTTTGTGCAAAAAAAGGTGTAAAGGTGAGGACACTTTAAAAAGGAGGAGGAGTCAGATCTCCTCTAAGACTTTGTTCCAACGAGTGGAGGCCTGAACAGAAAAGGCCTTTGGTGGAACTTTATTTTGTTGACATGAGCTTGACCTGTAATTAATATGAACCTTTCTGCAAAAACAAAAGATTGACTTCTTGAATTTCTGTTTGCAGGATCTCGTACGACCCCGCCAGGTACCCCCGCTACATCCCTGAGGCCTACTGCCTGTGTAAGGGCTGCCTGATGGGAGAGGAGAGCCACCGGTTCCGCAGCGTCCCGGTCTACGCTCCCACCGTCATCCTGAGGAGAACTGGCTCCTGTGTCGGAGGCCGCCACTCCTACACCGAGATCTACGTGTCTGTGGCCGTGGGCTGCACCTGTGTGCCGCTGCTGCAGAAGAAGAGGGACAGACACAGCAGCAACCAGAGCCTGGAGAGAGCAGAGCCCAAAGCCAGGAGACCTCTGGTGTCTGCAGGGAAGAAAGTGTGAAGGAAGCAGCTTCTGCACCTCCTCCACATCTGTCACTAGATTCACAGCCGACCAGTGCAACTTCAGTCTACAAACATTGTCCTTGCAGACTCTAATTCACTAAAGACAGTGACAGAAAACAAAGAACAGGTTTTGTGACCTTTGACCACCAAAATCTAATCAATTCATCTTTGACTCCAAGTGAACGTTTGTTCTAAGAAAACCCCATGAGTTGTTTCTGAGACGTTGCGTTCGCAAGACCAATATGTGTTTGAACCCTCGACCATCGCAAACTGGATGTCTGAAGACAATCCATCTGAGATATCATGTTCACAAGAATGGTACGAACGAAAACACCCAATAAATAAATGTAATGATTTTACCTCCTCATCCTCATAAACTCCTGAAACGTTTTTAAATCAGAAAAGATTAAACTTTATTTCATCCACTTTCATTCTTGACTTGACCTGGACACAGAACAGCAAACTGAGCCTGCAGCAGGTTTTCTGACTGAAGAGAAGAATCCAACAAAGACTCTGAACTACAGAAAACCTCACTCACCTCTGCTGTGAAGCTGTTCATGCTTCAGGTTTCCAGAAATTCATCCGTGAGATTCCTGCACCACAAACAAAATGATTCAATTATAATTTCGCTCCGTTGTGTTTGGGTGGAGGCAGAAACCTTCAGAGTCCGATTTCTCAAAACTTCGTTACATCGAACCAAAACTATCCACGGGACGAGAAACCATGAGAAATGAATGAGAGCGTTGTTTGTTTGTACTTTGGGTGGATCGACCCTCTGAGAATCAAACATGTGAACCTATGGAATAAAACCAGTTTGTATCATCAGTGACCTGAACAACGCTGCCACCTGCTGGTGTCACACATCATTTGTCAATTAAACTAATATTTAAATAAATTTGCAATTTCCAAATTTAAAAAAACAATCCAGTGATTCTTCTCAGTGATTTGTTTCATCTTTTAATTTATTTATAATATAATATTTAAATTAAATTAGTGTCTTCTGTCTGAGCTGACTTCTTCAATTTGCTGGTTTTGTGGAACCAGCGTCAAAAACTGAAAGATATTTAGAGTGAAACGATATAAAACAGATAAAAGCAGCAAAACCTCTGAATAAATTAACCTTACAGGACAATATTGACCAAACTAATGTCCAGTCTTTTTCAGTAGACTTTTTAAAAATGTTGAATCAAGTCACATTTTTTTTCTCACAAATCAAAGTTCCTTTATATCTGTGAGTTTAAACCAGAGTTGTAAAGTTTCTGTGCGACGTCCTCCGTCCTTCAGGAAGCTGCAGCGGATACGCTTCAGCTCCTCAGCAGGACAGACGGATAGTTGACGAAGCAGCAGAACTCATTGGACAAGTTTCTGTTGTGCTGCGGCAGGAAACTGCACTTTTTCACACCCAGAAGCTCTTTGGCCAGATTCTCCATCATGGCTCCTGCAGAACAGAAGAAACGTCAGGTGTGAAAAACTGCTCAGGAAGCGAAGCGTCGTCAATTAATGTTTAACATGAGGGACGTTCGTTTAAAGGTCCAGTGTGTAGAATTGAGTGACATCTAGTGGTGAAGTTGCATGTTGCAGCTGAACACCCCTCACCTCCCCCTCCCCTTCCAAACATGACAGAGAACCTGTGGCAGCTTCAGTTGTCAGAAAAACTCAGAATGTTTAGTTTGTCCAGTCTGAGCTACTGTAAAAAAACATGGCGACCTCCGTAGAAAGGAAGTAAATATAAAGTATTTAAATATAAAGTATTCAAATATAAAGTATTCAAATATAAAGTATTCAAATATAAAGGGCCCATTCTAGAGTAAAGAAAACAAGGATTCGTACAGTTTAGATGAAACACACCAGGATTATTTCATATTTAATTTCTGCCACTGGATCATTTCACCTTAATCTTCCACACTGAACTTTTAAAGCTGCAACGTGTAAACAAAGACAAACAACAACTCTGGGTCTCCAATCTTCCGTTCTGTGACGTTCCTCCTCTCACCTGTGCACAGCAGCACTTTGCCTTTACTCAGGTACTTGATGGTTTGGGCCACTTTGCTCAGACACTCCTCGGACAGGTACGGAGGATCGGCCAGGACCACGTCGAAGCTCTGAGGAGCGACGCCCGGCAAACACAGCGGCTGGTTGTAGTCGTAGAAGATGAAGTCGTCTCCGTAGGTGGCGAAGCGGCGGTCGTACTCCAAAACGACAGCGGACACCCGGTCTGAGCCGTCCACCACGCCCTGCTTCAGCTTCTGGTAAACACTGGGGGCGCTCACACACACGACCCTGAACACACGGACACACTTTGAACCATAACTTGAGATTTATCAGTCGGACGATGAGTCAGACTGCGAGCAGCATTCGTTCACTGTTACAAAACCTTCTTTATTCAAATTCTATATGTTTAGTTACACTTATTTTTAGTTTATATTTAAGTTTATCATTAAATTGTAAAATATCAAGCTTCAATTACATTTTGTCATGTGATGGTTAAGGTCAGTGTGTGTGTGTGTGTGTGTGTGTGTTTACCTGCCGCCCTCTCCTGCCTCTCGTACGACCTCCTCAGCTAATTGAGTCGCTGTTTCGTCAGTGTACCAGAACTGACTCATCCGCTGGTGGACACACACACACACACACACACACACACACACACACACACACCGTATATATAAATATTAATTTGAATAATATTCATAATGATGATTAGAAACCCAGTGAACCTCACTGAAACATCATCCATACGTGGATAAATTGAAAGTATAATATTGTTATAAATGAAAACAATAGATTCTGTGAAAGATCATTATATTGTTTGTTAAATTCAGTGTGAGCTCACCCAGTCCTCCTCCACCTCCCCCACACTGAACTGCTCCCACAGACACTTGATATCATCAGTTCTGGTCTCACTGTAAAACTCCTGCAGGGCAGCCAGGGAGTCAGCTGACAGGGTGGGGGGGCCCTCTTCATCACTGTCACTCATGGCTGTGGAGGAGGAGGAGGAGGAGGAAGAGGAGATCAGCTTCAGGGATGAAGGATGAATACAATAAAAACATGTTTGACTGTTTCTCTCCTCTAACGTGTCATTAATACTCGTGACATCATCAACATGTAAAAAAACAATTATTCTAAATATTCTACTCAAGCAAAAACAGTCTGAGCGTCAGATTACATCAAGTACATCAAGTACATCAAGTACAATTACTCCTGATTCTGAATATTTAAACATTGATCCTGACTTATGCAGTACTTTAATTACTGATGCGTTCACGTGCACACGTACATCGTAGTAATCTGGGCTACTTTCAAACGACACGCAGCTGTGTGGTTCGTGGCTAAAGTGGACAAACCGGTTCAGCGCCTCTGAAGGGACCACGTGAGTAGTCGCAGGAGGATGACGTCACAGCAGAAAGTACGGCTGCCGCGGAGGGACAAAGATCATAAAACCTAAAATAAAGATTTCAACCGGATTTCAAGTTTTACAGTTAAAATTATTAACATCGATCATATTGATCTACTCTTGTTTTTACATATATAGATTTTCCATTTATACGTTTGTTGTGTTTCACTTTTTATATAAGTTCATCAGTTGTTTACATTTTTGATATTGTAAAAAAAATTTTTTTAAACTTTTATGAAAGGAAAAGCAAAACTGAAAATCATCAAACTGATAATTGTTCGAACAATGTCCACATTTTTTTTAACTACTGTATTTTTTTAGTTTTGCTTTTAATTTCAAAATCTTTACAATACTTAAAACCTGGACTGTGATGAATGGAATAGAAAATGTATTTAAATGACTTAAACAGTGACTGGAGAGAAAAAAAGTAAATCAGTCAATCCTGATGTTTTGTATTTTATACTCAACATTATTTCTAAAACAAGAATTTTCTCCATTTTCATTAATTAATTAATTATTTTTTTTGCTGTTTCTTTCCTGATGACTTACATTTCAACTCTGGCGAGAGGCCCATGCCTCAGAGGGCAAGACCCAACGGTCCCATTCAATTCAAGCCAAACTTCACACACTCGATATCAGTTCCCTGAATGTTCCGGCTTTTTTAAAATCAAGATCCATAAATCTGAAAATGTGGAAGAATGTTGACATGTTGGATAAAGTTATAAACTGAATTCCAGTGTTCTGTTTTTGTGTAATCTTGCTAACCAACAAACAGACGGGGTGAAAAGACAACTCTCTTGGTGGAGGTAATATCTGTAAAAATGCAGAGGTTAGTATACCCGTACATATTAAATTGTCTTTTAGGGGCTACTTGCTCAGTGCAGGGTGTGACTACACAAACTTCTGAGGCTTTAAAATAATCAAATATTATGAACAATATTTTTTATTTATTATTAAAGTAGATAAAAGACATTACAAACAGACACGACACATGTTAAAGGAAAATGCAGAGGCAGGAACATTTTATACAATAAGTTTATGTACACTTTTACACTTCATTAAC